CTATAAATTTAATAACTTTAAACTTACTAATTTATTACCTATTATCTTGAGCACAATCTTGCAGGTTTAGTCCATTCAGTTCCTTTAACAATAGCACATTTACACCACATGAATCAGTTACAGCCCTGGAATCAAAATAACTAAACTGTTAAAGATCACTTTAACTTCAAAAATCACTGCAAACAAACTTCACACCTGTCCTTGAAAGGTTAATAGGATCAGTTAAACTCCAAATTACAGATTCAATATGTTCAACCCCTTACCCTTCTTCAAACACTTGCTTCTTTGGCTCAGTTATTTATTATTTATATAAGTCGCATCCCCCTTCACCAGGTATCATACCATTCTTGGGATAATGGGAGAAGGAAGGAGGGATCACTTGCGCAACCTTTTCCCAAAGAGATGAGAGTGTAACAAACACTTAGCAATTTGGCTTGAGTGGATTATCTAGCCTGGCAGTGCACTACCGATACAGTGTTTCTTGCCATAATAAGAGACGTTTGTCGGCAGTGGTATCCTTTGCATGAGATATTAAATTTATGTCTATCTGTATATTGTAGTACATCAGTAGATACCAAATATTTCTTAGCAAAATTTAAAAAGGGGTATGTCTCCAAGTATCCTACTGGGACATTTTCTCCATGAACAGTACCGAAAACCGATTACATGGTCATTAATCTCCATGTTTGCAGGATCTTGCTTTTAAAAGTGGACTCTGTTCCAAAAGGTAGTGGAGGCAAGGATATTCAATCTTCTTAAGATGGAGTAGATAGATTCTTGAAGAATTCTCTTAAGGTGGAGTAGATGGATTCTTGTTAGGCAGGGGCATCAAAGGCTATGAGGCATAGACGGGAATGAAAATTTGTATTTGAAACAGAAGCAGTTCAGTCATGATCTTACTGAATGGCAGACAGGTCAAATGGCCTACTCCTGTCCCATATATTCTTTTTATTAACAACAATTAATTGTGGTTCAAAGAAATTTGTCTTGAGTGAAGAGAGATGAGCGAATTGTGATAAGCTTCTAAGTAAATATAAATCTGTCTTTATTTGCTACTTCAGTAATACAAATATTAACTTATTAGTTACTGATCCAAGTGAAGTTTGTTGGTATTTAAAAGTATGCTGGCATAGACATTAGGTGCAGAGATTGCAGTCCAGATTTGCTTTGTGGATATAGATATGGTTCTGGGAAATATGCAGATCTGAGACTGTATCTCTGTTGAGATGCATACTCTGTGCACTATTCCTGGGGAATTCCAGGTGGCTGATAATTGACCGTATGTAAGCTGCATTAGGCAGCACTGAGTCTTTAAAGTATGTCAGCTATGACTTCGAATATGTTGGCCATGATCTCCAATTTTTGTTGTTCCTCCTTTTTCAAAGTATTTAGCACTTAGACTTCTGCAACACACATTATGTGAATTAACAGAAAGAAAACATATTGGGCAAATCTTCACTCTGCCCATCTCTAATTATTTTTGATCAGCCCTGTTCAGACACGTTCTGCATCTCTGGGGCAGGTTAGACTTGAACTCAAATCTTCTGGCTGAGAGGTTGGGACACGACAACAGCACCACAAGACTCTTTGCTCATCACCAGTAATCTTATTCACTGTGCTGTTTCCATGCCAGCTTAAATAGAAGTTGATATAATGTGGAATTAATCAAAATTCTGTTGTTTCTGTACATTACTACAATTCTTGCTTAAAAAGCATTAACAACATAAAATTCAATTGACAGTGCGTAAAAGTTTGTTTCTCGAGCAAGAATTAAATTAAAACTTGATTGATCTATTCATTGTAAACTACCAAGCACTGCAGATTGCCTATGTGCAAGTTATAAGTTGCAGAGCAGATTAAAACATCATTAGTCAGAAACTCATAACGGGCAAAGGTACAATATGAGTGGCATTGAATCAGTTATTCACTAAATGCAGTGACTGATATTTAATTCTGTTGACTTTAAGGAAACCGAATATGAGCCATAGCAAATGATGGGGTTGATGTGATATTGTCCGTTGTGATCTATCACCCAAGCCAAATTTCTACTTGTGTTTCTTGGCCTCCAGTAGAGACCAATCAGTCTAGAGAGAAAGAATGATCTTCAAACTTAGCTAGTAACTTTGCCATTCCTTTTTAGAATTAGCCAGTTCTACTTCAAGCTTACTGTCATTTTTCTAACCACCAAACTAAAAATAAAACTAAAATGAAGATAAGCTAGTTTTGAACCAGTTATGTTGCAGTGACCACAGAATTTATACTACTCAGGTAATCAGTCAACAAAAACAATCTTTCCAATAACCAGATTTGATGATTCAACTTATTATTTCAATTTCCATCAAAATATTAAAGTATCTGATACATGACACATTTCAGGTTAAAAAGCATATGAATGTGCAATAATTTACTTTTTCCTGCTAGACGAATTCTTACAGTGTGGTTGTACTTTTGTAATTGTCAACCTCACTATAATCAGACATATAATTATTTTTAAAATGTCTTTCCAATTTTAAATTTGCATTAGACTATACTCAATAACATATTTTGATGTGCAAATTCTTGAATCCACACAAATGTGTCTTTCTTTGGTGCACTAAGTCTTTAACTAACACTTTGTATTAGGTTTGTGTGCCAAAAAAGGAGAGATGGCTAGTAAGTAATTTTTATCTGACTGCTTGCAGCGCTTTCACTTCTGTTTCTCAGATACTAATTATGCATGGTTTATTGGGATTTCAGTGGTGTGACTTGTCCACATTTACCTCCCTCTCCTTTCCCTTCCAGCCTAAACCTGAATTAGCTCCCTATTTGTTGCAATTGGTGTGGAACTTCTGCTTGTTAATGGGTTGATATTTGGCCAGTATTCCAGGTTATCTGATGTAATGAATAGCTTTTTAATATTGTTTTTAAAGTCAAATAAGTAAAATTGAAAAATCTTGTTCATATATTTTTGATTTCCAGACATATTTTGAATATATAGCTAAGAAATATCATACTTCAGATCACCTGATCTTAAATACCATTCTTGGGTTTATGTCATATAAACCATAGTTAGTAGATGCACAACGTTTATATTAATGATGATTTTCATGCTATTACTTCAGTTCGTCATACCAAATTGAAGCAAATGTCAGAAAGACTATGTATTCTATAAATCATTCAGACATAAGTACTTCATAGCTATTAAATAAAGATTCTAGTTATTCTACAGATTTACTTTTTTAAAAATTTCAATGTAACACTCAAATTATTGATTTTAAAAGTCGTAATTTATTAGTTTTGTAATTGGTCTGTTTAGCTTATTTTAGGTTTAATTCATTAAATTAAAGTCTAAATTATTAAATAATGTTCTTCATATTTAAGTGAATTTCAATCAAGCAATCTTCTATCATAATAACAAAAAGTGCTGAAAATACTCAGCAGTTCCTGCTGCATCTGTGGAGAAAGAAACAGTTCACGTTTCGAGTTGAATATGCCTCTAATATTAAAGTGCAAGTTTCTAATATTAAAGTGCAAAGATTTCAAGTAAATACTTGAAGTCTGAATTGGTTAGTTAAGTTACTTTGGTATATAAGTAATAATTAATATTATGATTTAACATAAATCTGTTAATAATTAAAGACAAGTGGAAACTGATAAACGCTGAATAAAAGAAAAAAATCTTTGCTTTCACAGAGCAAAATACAGCCATAATTATCTGTGTTGTAATTGTTTATTATAATTATTGATTATTTTTAATTTCAATAGACCACCGAAAGGAAGATGCTTTCAAGATTCACATAGGAATCATCACTGATTAACAGACATGTGCCATCTTTTGTTTTAGAGTAATAGAGTCATACAGCACGTCCGTGCCAACCAGGTTTCCCAAACTAAACTGGTCCCATTTGCCTGCACTTGGCCTATATCACTCTGAACCTTTCCTTTTCAAGTACCTGTCCAAATGTCTTTTAGATGTTGTAACTACTCTTGCATCTACCACTTCCTATGACAGTTCATTCCAAACATGAACGACCCTCTGCATGAAGAAGTTGTCCCTCCAGTCCCTTTTAAATCTTTCTCCTCTCACCTTAAATTTATGCCCTCTAGTTTTGAACTCCCCTGGGGAAAAGACCTTGGCTATTCCCCTTATCTGTGCCCCTCATGATTTTATAAACTTCGATAAGGTCACCCCTCAACGTCCTTCACTCCAAAGAAAATAGTCTGAGCCTATCCAGCCACTCCTTATAACTCAAACCCTTCAGTCCTGGTAACATCCTTGTAAACCTTTTCTGTGCCTTCTTGAATTTAATAGTATCCTTCTTATAGCAGGGAAACCAAATCTGTACACAGTAGTCCAGTAGTAGGCTTCGCTAACATCCTGTACAACCGCAACATGATGTCTCAACTCCTCTATTCAGTGGTCTGAGCAATGAAGGCAAGAATGCCAAATGCCTTCTTCACCACCTTGTCTACCTGTGACACAACTTACAAGGAACCCCAAGATCTCTCTGTTCGACAACACTCCCCAGGGCCCTACCATTAACTGTGTAAGTCCTGCCCTTGTTTGTCTTAACAAAATGCAACACCTCGTATTTATCTAAATTAAAATCCATCTGCCACTCCTTGTTGAAATGTCTTTGTTAAGATTTAAACTTTATCAATGGAAGGTTGAACATTCCTCACTTTAGTCTTAACTATATGTGTCACTAAACAGAACAAAAGGAACTTCTGTAGTATACATTAATACACAATTTATTTTATTTCAGTATATTTTTCCCAGAAGAATATGTACTATTTCTTAAAATTAATCACATTACAATTGAAATAATTTTTAAACAATGGAGCAGCATGATCAGTTGGATTCATTTCCCATCAAACTCCTAGATAAACTATTACTTAAATGTTTGAGTTGGCAAATTTATTGATTTGTTTGTGAGCTAAATTTTCCAGACTTAACTAAAGGTATGTTCATTGCTTAACATGTGTTAATATAAATATTTGCCCCTACCTACTTTGTGTAGGGCTATTTTAGTGACTCCTGGAACGTGTTTGACTTCCTCATCGTTATTGGCAGCATTATAGACGTCGTACTTGGTGAACTTGATGTGAGTACTGTAACTTAACAGCAATCATTGCTCCTTTTACTGCTTTACTAAATATATCACTGGACAAGTCACAAACAGTTCTGCCTATTTTCAGACATAAAAGAAAGACTTACAAAACTTTATATTTCTCTCACTTTACCTCTTTCCTTTTCTAGAATGCAGAGGAGGTCAATTCCACAAAAAAAAAGGCTCAGCATGGCTATGAAAGCATCAGTTTTTTTAATGAAAGCTTTTTTACTCGATGTGCATAGTCCAAACTATATAGTACAACTGCAATGGGTGCAATGGTCACGTGCCGAATTTCTAAAATATGAAACATTGAAAAGGATTCCATTCCCTTTATGTATCTATTTAGGACGCATTGGAAATAATTCATTAAATAAAACTACAAACTGATAATTATAGCTGCTTGGCATCGTAAATTATTTTGGATATTTAAGTGAATTTTAATCAAATATACTTTGTATTTGATTAATATGATTGAATCATATACAAAAATATCAACAAATAATTGAAACCTGGAATATTTATGTAAATTATATTATTACATTTGTAGCGGTTGATTTTATAACTTGACTCAAGTTTGGAAGAAAGGGCAATTGAATGAAAGCAGAATACTCATGCTTTCACAGTGATGCAAAATACAGACAAGTTTATCTGGGTTGTAACTGAATTTGTGTTGTAACTCTGGACTCTCACTTTTTTCTGACATCTTTTCTCACCCCTCTCTGCTCCTATTGAATGTTTACATTCACAGCACTATTTCGCTGATGCATGGAACACTTTTGATGCCTTAATTGTTGTTGGTAGCGTCGTTGATATTGCTATCACAGAAGTTAATGTAAGTACAGGCTATCAGTGACTGCACTTGCAAATTATCCTTGTTCCTATATTAGGAAATTTTTAACATAAAAGTACAAAGTCTGAAATTGTATCTTTACTTTAGTAGTGAGTTTTTAATGTTTGGATAACTTTGTTATACTTAAGAAAATTTCAAAACAATAACTCTTGTGCTAAGTATTTATTTAACTTCCAAAAGTGTGATATCATAAAAAACTAAGTTACAATTTACAGTGCTCACAACTTGACTATAATATTTTGACCCTATATTTAATGAACTTTTTAAACCCGAGTCTGTACACCTTTAATTGAAGTTGACAAACTGTGTATTCAGATGTAGCAGCTGTCCAGAAGGACCTATGATTGACAGAACAATGTATAACCAATTATGATATATTTATAATTTCATGAATTCAGACAGGGATTTGATAATGTTATTGTGAAATTATTTAAATTAAACTACACTTTCATTATGCTCCCAGGCCAGTTGTTTCTTTTAATAGAAAACATTATTATGGTATGCAGTTTTGAGTTTTCCACAACAATGTGAAGAAGGCTGCTGAGGATGCCCAAAAACTCCCCTGGATGGAAAGTGGTAGTTTCTAGTAGGTTTTCAGAGGTTTGAAAATTGTTCCAACTTTATTCAGTAAGACTTTTTTTTATATTGTCTAACTAAATAAATAAATTTTATTTTACGAGCTTAATTTCAATTATGAGCATTGTCTATTATTTTAATACATTGTAAAGCATATTCTGAAACATTAAAAAATTAATTTCCTGTCTCTATTTTTGTCATTTACTAATTGAAAACTCACTACTTTGGTAGAGTCAGTTAACCATTGTACTTTTTCCAACTTGTCCAGGTTGCTTATCCATTTGGTATTACGCAGATTTGACACTATGACATTAAATAAGCTGTGGGTGATTCTGAATTGTTATGAAAGTGTACCACTATAAAATTTTCTGTTTTCCCTCACAAAAGCATAACATGAACAGATTATAAATAATCTTATTATAATTATAATTATAATTATATTATGCATTGCCTTCATATTTCAGTAAAAACTGGGCAAATAATGTTTTAATAATTTTTTTTTATTTTGAATCATATTAATTATGCAAGTTGATCACTGTGTTCTCATAAAGTACAATCCAAGACTTATTCTGTCTACAGCAATATAATATGTTACCCCTTCAGATTTTATTGTTTCATCAGCATCTTGGTCACTAAGATTGTGATATTGCATATGCAGAACATAAAAATGATTGATTAAGTGATTAATTAACACAAGGTAACGAACTTAAAGGAAAGATGGGAAGCTGAATCAGAACTGGGAATGCCATCCATACAGGCAGTCAGTGATTGAAACTAGAAGTTCCATTAATATTTTGCATGCAAACTTACTCTAAAACTAAGTCTATTGAAATAAAAAGTTAATTTTAATATGCCATACAGAATATCCCAAGAATATTTTAAAGCAAAGACAACAATGGGTTTTCTAATTATCCTTCATTATGTTCATTGTGTTTTCTAGAATCTTGTTGAGGCAAGTATAAATTCTGGTTCACTGCCCAGTATCATGCACTTTCTGTTTGTAATTTTTTTGCAAAATTTTTATGATCTCTGTTTATGGAGTTTGAATGACTTGAATTGTGGTCATCCAAGTTTTTTTCCTAATTTAGGAGGAAGAAATTGAAATCTTCCATATGCTTTATATATTAAAATAGATATTCTATTATTTATCCAATTTGTACTTTTTTGTTTATATACGTTTTTAAGTTCAAGTTAACAAGGAAAGGAACTCCACCTAAATTAGCTGACAGACTTTTATGAACCTGGTTGAACAAAATGTTAGGAAACCTTTAAAGTGTCCTCAAAACTTTGCGTATTAACACACTTAAATAAGATAATTATTTACATAATTTACATATGTTATCTTTGGTTACATAATACAAACAATGACAAGTTTTAGTTTAAATATTTCAATATGTATCTGCATTGATATATTTTAATTGAAGTTGAAATGTTTGCTACAGAGGAATAGTTTATCATTTGTAGAATAAATTTGTCATTTGGCTGACAGAATGTGTCTTAATATCTAAATTCAAGAAAGGATTTATTTTCTGCTTTTTTTAATTGAAGTGATCAGTATGAAAGTTTTTTTTGAGTTTTACAAAACTAAGATAAGCAAGAAAGCAAAAATACATTCCAATGTTGCTAAAAGGGGACAAGTGGTCAGATCTTTTTGTCTTGTACTAATCAGGTCTAGGATGTAAGAAGCAGACTTGTTTGGAGCCATCAATGACTTAGAGATGTGACAGGAACAGCCAATGGTCAATCACTTTTTATTTTCCAATGAAAAAGATGCAATATGTGCACAAATTTCTTATGTCCACATAAAAATGTATCCTTTGTGTTGTTATATGTAACTTCTGGCAAATGCATTGTGCGACAGGCTTGATTGATCTTAAAGGAATCATGGAGACTGCCAATCTCTGCTGCATTTCCACGGTAAGACCCTGACTCGGAGTCTACTTCCCTGGTCTGAAATCTTCAGTTATCAGGGCACTAGTGAGATTACAATTGGAGCACTGTGCCCAGTGTTGATTACTTCATTGAATGAAGGATATGATTGCATTGGAAACAATTCAGACAAGTTTTACAAGACTAATATTGGAATGAGATTGTAATCTTGTGAGGAAAGGCTGGACAGGTTAGGCTTTTATACACTGGAGTTTAAAAGAGTTAATTGATAATTGAATTATTATTTAATGATTTATTGAACCAATTAATTGATTCAAAATGTAACTTCTGAGGGGCCTTGACAGGGCAGATGTGAAGAGGTTGTTTCCTGTTATGTCAGCATCTACAACTAGAGGTTGCTCTTTAAAAATCTGCAATTGTTCATTTAAAGCAGAGATGACGCAAAAACCAGTTGAGTGTTGAGAGTCTTGGGAGCTCTCTTCCTGAAAATGTTGTTGAAGCAGTCTTCAAATATATTTAAGGCAGAGGTAGACAGATTTTTGTTAAGCAGAGGTGTAAAAGGTTATTGGGGTAGGCAAGAATTTGGATTTGAGGTTATAATCAGATCAGCTAGTTGATTTAGTTGAATGAGGGGAAGCAGGTTCAAGGGGCTGAATGGCACATGTATGCTCCTAATTCATCTGTTGTACTAAGATTGACTATTAACTGCTCCTGCTATATATCCATGCCAACAATCACCTAACCAATCAGCACCCTGTTCTGATCCTGCATAAATTGATGTTCCTTTCCCAAAAGTCAGTGTCTTGCTTCGTAGCCCTGATGAGTGCAAGGTGAAAAACGTTAACTTTTTTGTCTCCTTTTAGCAGTGTTTAAATTTGTACTACCAAAGATTTATTTGTAATCTGATGTCTTCAATTACTTATATATTCAATTGTATTCTATGATGGAGTTGAAAATTTGGTTGACCATAATTTCAACAGATCTTTTGCACTGGCGTTTTCTGCATGATCACTTGGACTGAATAAAATAAACAAAACAAAACTAGAAATGAAACAGCAATTATTTTTTCAACACATGTATAACACAGTTTGATGTGTTACCATATTTCAATGCTACTAGAATCCTCGGTTTTTAATGCTTGAAACTAATCAGTATAGAGTATTGTGAAATTTAAATCGGGGGCAGGAATTGGGGGGCAGGAGTAGTACAATCATAGATTTTTTGCTGTCTCTTCAAATCTGACTTTTCATTCTGTGTAATTGTGTGACCTGCAATTTCTCAGGAAGGAAGCATGATTCATGTCTTGAATGTAGGCATCCAAATACCATAGGAAGTAGAATTATGGAATTGCAGTGCGCAAAGAGGCTGTTCAGTCCATCAAGTCTGCACCAACCCTCCAAAGAGCATCCCACCCAGACCTAGACCCCCACCCTAACCCCATCACCCAGCATTTACCATGGCTAATCCACATAGCCTGCACATCCTTGGATACTATGGGGCAATTTAGCATGGCCAATCCACCTAACCTCCATATCTTTAGACTGTGAGAGGAGCCTGCAACACCTGGAGGAATCCCACCCAGATACAGGGAGAAAGTGCCGACCCCATACAGACAGTCGCCCATTGAACCATCGTGCTTAGTCTTCTGAAAATTGTGAGGAAGTAATATCAAAAAATGAATATCTGTGGCCCTTACAACCACAGACAAAGCAATCGTAATCAGAAGTTCCTCATGTCTTCAATTGTCTGACACTTGGCGCAGTGCAGTAATACCCCTCTCTGAACCTCAAGTTCTTAGCCATAGCTCACTTGTTAGCCCCAGATGTGACATTCTGGTTCCATAGGTCTTGTATGTTCAGACATCCTTCCACATGCATTTTTTTGAAAGGTAATATTAGACGTGGGCTTATGGTGACAGTGTGATAATATCATTGACTCATCGTCCAGCGACCCCGGCTATTACTCTGAGGATATAGGTTCAAATCCCACTGTGGCAAATGATAATGGTGATTCTTTATATCATCAACTGTTGCAAAAACACATCTGGTTCACTACTGTTATTTAGTGAAGGAATTCTACCTGTGGATCTGACCCACAGCGACGCGGTTCACTCTTAACTGACATCCAAAATGGCCAAGCGAGCCGCTTAGTTCAAGGGCAGTTCACGATGGGCAGCAAGTGTCCACATTACCAGTGATGTCCACATTCCTTAAAAGAATGCTTAACTGCCATATTAATGTAATAGTATCACCTCTGATATATATCTGCAAGTGATTATTCTGTGTAAAGTCTCCAGATTACCACCATTTTGAGCTGGATGTGGAAAGTTCTATGATCTATGAGGGAGCTTTTCTTCTTGTCAGTGTGCAACAAAAAGATTGTTAATTAATCAATGCAGGCATGATACAAACTTCATGCTATCTGTTTATTACTGTGATTGTAGATTGTTGCCATTATCACAATTGAGATTTGTAAGACTGTTATGTTTAAAAATGGCTTTTGGTTTATAAGATTATATTTTGAAACAGGAACTTCAAATTAACAATAATTAAAGAGAGTCATATGACTTGTTCTGGCGTCTGCCTTTCAGCCAGTCTTGATGGTTTAATTGTTGGAGTTCAAAGAATTACTCAGATTTCTTTTTCTAAGACTAAGGCTCACGGTTTTCTCCTGGATACAGTGTCTGTGTACATAAGTAGACTACTTGTATACCGTATGTAGATTCTGAGTCTCCCAAAGTTCCAGAGAAGTATTATTACTGTCAGCTGTAAACAGCTGTGCTGTAAACTATCCTTTTATTTTGAGAAGAAAGTGACTTGGAAGAGGTAATAATTAGTTACTTGGGTAAAAAGCTGACGTATTTCCCATTGCCATGGGGAAGACAGTAAAGAGTGATATTTTTGATATTGGGTTACGGGCTTCCCTGCAAACCCATACATACGGCTAAAAGGAGCTTTTCATTTTGTCTTGCATGGACTGCAAGCCACCTGAACATAGAGAGAGCAAAAGGTAGCTGTAGCCAATACTGCAATTCAAGCAGAACAAGTGCTGATTTTGATCATTCACAGTATGGATCATCAGTGGAAAACTCATGTTAAAGTTGAAGATGGGTTTGTGAGGATTTAAAGGACCTGGAAGATTTGCTTAGCTTAGAGCTAGAGGAAGGAATTTATACTATAAGCTTCATTGTGAAGGGTAGTTTTGAAATTCAAAGTTACTGGCATGTAAAGTAAAAAGAAATCAAGCCACTTGGAGCTGAGATTAATTTGAGAATGGTTCCCGAAGGATGATATGTCCATGAAGGGACAATGCAATATGTAAATGCATCTGGAGATTTTATTCATGCTAAAAGTTAAATGAGAAATCTCTTTTCTGTAGTTTCAGGTATATGTTGCCAATGAAAAGAACATAGTGTTTAGTCAATTATGTTTTAGTCATTTGTTACAGTCAAGGCTTTATTGAACATGAAATCTTTCTTTCAACTATTGTTTTGAAATCCAAATTTCTCTTGAAAAATTAATGATCTCTCAGGTGTTTGTGACATCAGTGCCCATTATACAAGTGGATGGCTGCATGCCTGAGAAGAAGGCTTGAAGTTGAGAATTTAGCAGCATTTAAACCTAACATGTGAAATAGCTCTATAGAGGCCGGTATCCTGTCACCAAGTCACCCTTTATTTACACATGGACAGTCCTTGACTTATAGTACTGCCTCATACAGAGTCAGACACCAGAGTATCAGCCAGAGCTTCCTGATTGGACCAGATTAACAACCCCAATCAGGGAACTCCTATTCTATGAGGTCCAGCTGGCAGACCTTGTTACAATCACTGCAAACTGCACAAGTTAAAACGAGTCTGCACTTTAAAGGGGAAATGTACCTTGCCTGGAGCAATTGATGATAGTAGCCATGAAGTGTCCAAGCAGAAAGAATTCTGAAAAAATAGCATACCAGGGAGGAGAGCATGTTTCAATGTTCTCTGTATCACTGGAGGTCATGATGGAGGAGGATAATAGCACTCCAACTACAAGGGACTAAAACGGTCTTCTTGGATGCAGACTTTGTAAGGTTTGTAGGAGCAGACCATCATTATCACTGCCGGCAGTGTAGCTCTGAGGTCATGAGCACAGTGTTGTAAGCTGCTCACTAATCTCAAAAGTGTTGTCAAGGTCAGGAAATACATCCTCAGATGCTCTATCCTTACAAATGAACTAGTAACCTCACACAGTGCTCAGTTCACTACGTTCCCTTTATGCAATTGCCAACTATATCTATCATGAATAATTTCTCATATTCACAGACTCACCCTCAGTATATCTCTCAGACTTTTTGATTATGACAGCAATATTACCCAAATGAGTTGGACTGAATCCTATCCCTAACCCATTGAATAGATGTGGGCAGGAAATGTCAGCAGTTAAGACACCAATTTGGGACAATTTTGTGGCATTGGTAGTACTTCTGATAATGGAGCAGACCCCCAGCATGTGGGGAGATTACCATCACCACCTAGAAAGTCTTTATGCAGCAGTTGGAAGGCCATCTGAGCTGAATGTGCCCCCTAAGGAGGAAATTGTGAATAGGAAGGGCGCTACCTGCAATCTAGTGATGCAGGAGCAAGACAACGTTTTTTGGGAACCGGGCCAACTGATCCCTTATCCCATTCACTGTCAGGACAGATTACCTGAAGGTACTGGGAATATGGCTCAGAGGGGCAGGGGTATGTGCAAATACTTGGGAGGAGTGTATCATTAATGTGAGGCAGAAACGGGGCTTATGGGAGAACCACTATCCCTGAACTGCAATTATCAAGTGTGAGGGACTGTCAGTTGTACTGCATGTAGCACAGGTCTAGCCCATTCCTGGAACCTTCACCTTAGCAGTCACCTGAGCCATCTTCATTTTCATCTGGGGCCAAAGATGGACCATGTCCACAGGGACATCATGTACAAGGCTCTGGAGAACAGGAGGAAGGATGTATCCAACACCGCCCTCCTCCTGATGGCCACTTTTGTGTGGCTGGATCAAGTTGTGTGAACATCCTCAATTCGCAAACGCCACTATGTGCTGAAGTAAAAGAGACATAGAATCATTCAGCACGGAATCAGACCCTTTGGTCGAACAAGTCCTTGCATAATCCCAAATTAAACTAGTCCCACCTGCCTGTGCTTGGCCCATATCCCTCCAAACATTTCTTATTCATGTATTTATCTAAATGGCTTTTAAATGTTATAACTGTACCCACACCCTCCACTTCCTCTGGGCGTTCATTCCACGCACGAACCACTCTCCATGTAAAAAAAATTCCCTAACTTTTTAAAACCTTTCTCCTCTCACCTTAAAAAATGCCCCCTCATCTTGAAATCTCCCCCCCTAGGGAATAGACACCTGCCATTCACCTTATCTATACCCCTCATGATTTTGTAAACCTCTATAAGGTCACCCCTCAACCTCCTATGCTCCAGTAAAAAATGTCCCAGCCTATAACTCAAACTCTCCATTCCTGGCAACATTCTGTATTTACTAGTGCAGTTGGGAAGGTTAAACTAAAATGGCAGGGGTTTGTGAATTCCAGTCATCACTACCCTCTTGAGAGAAGAAATTCCTTTGGATCTCAGTTCTAAATGACCATCCCTTGTTCTGTAACTCGATTCCTTAGTTTGAGATTTCCCACTTGAGAAAAAGTCTTATCAACATTTACCCTCACAAGTCCACTTAAAATTTTGTATATTTCAAGAGGATCATCTCTCATTTTATTAAACTCCAATAAATAAAGTCGTAACCTGTTTAGCCATCCTTGTTAAGTCAACCCCTTCATCCCAAAAATCAATTATAGCGTCATACAACACAGAACAGACCTTTCGGCTCAACTTGTCCACGCCAACCAGGTTTCCTAAACTGAACTAGTGCCATTTGGCCCATATCCCTATCCATGTACATGTTGTATTTGTACTCGCCTCTACCATTTCCTCTGGCAGCTTGTTCCATATATGCGCGGCACTCTGTGTGAAAATGTTGCCCTTCAGGTCCCTTTTAAATCTTTCCCCTCTCATCTTAAACCTATGCCCTCTAGTTTTGGACTCCCCCACCTTGGAGGAAAGACCTTGGCTCTTCACCTTATCTATGCCCGTCATGATTTTATAAACCGCTACAAGGTCATCCCTCAGCCTCCTATGGCCTAGGGAAAAAATGACCCAGCCTATACAGCTTCTCGTTACGGCTCAAACCGTCCAACCTCGATAACATCCTTGTCAATATTTTTTGCACCCTTACCAGCTTAATAACATCCCTCCTATAGCAGGGTAACCAGAATCGTATACAATCTTCCAAATGTGGTCTTACCAATGTCTTATACAACCGTAACATGATATCCCAACACCTGTACTCAGTTTTCAGACTAACGAAGGCAAACGACTTCTTCACCACCCTGTCAACCTGTGATGTCACATTCAAGGAACTATGTACCTGTCTCCAGGAGTCTCTGTTTACAACACTCCCCAGGGTCCTACCATTAATTGTGTAAGACCTGCCTAGGCTAGTCTTACCAAAATGCAGCACCTCGCATTTATCAAAAACAAAATCCGTGTGCCATTCTTAGGCCCGCTGGCCCGATTGATCAAGATCCTGTTGTACTCTTAGATAACCTTCACTGCACTTTACCACCAATTTCAGTATCATTTGCAAATTTACGAACCATGCCTCCAATATTCTCATGAAAATTGTTTATGTGAATAACAAGCAACAGAGGATCCAGCACCAATCCTTGCAGCACGCCACTGGTTACAGGTCTCCAGTCTGAACAAAAACCCTCTACCACCACCCTCTGTGTCCTACTGTCAAGTCAATTTTGTATTCAGTTGTCTAGCTCTCCCTGAATCCCTTGTGATCTAACTCTACTAATCAGTCTACCATGCAGAACTTTGTTGAAAGCCTTGCTAAAGTCCATGTCGACAATGTTTAGCACTCTGCTTTCATCTATCTTCTTGGTCATCTGTTCAATAAACTCAATTAAGTTTGTTTGACGATTTCCCACGCGCAGAGCCATGCTGACTATCCCTAATCAATCCTTGACTTTCCAAATGTACGTAGATCCTGTTTCTCAGAAACCCTCCCACTAACTTACCCACCACTGACGTCAGGCTCACCATTCCATAGTTGCCTGGCTTTTCCTTGCAGCCTTTCTTAAATAATGGCATAATATTAACCATCCTCCAGTCTTCCGGCACTTCAGTTGTGGCTGTCGATGATACAAATATCTCTGTTAGGTACCTATTCTTTGCTGCACAATTTTAGACTCTCTTTTCAATTAAATAACAATCTGCCTTTGATTTTTCCTACCATAGTGACCTTACACTTTCCTGCATTAAACTCCATCTGCCAAATTTTTACCCAGTCGCTCAATCTCTTATCCCCTTGTAGATTCCTTACGTGATCATAAGGCCCTTGCACCTATTTTTGTATCATCAGAAAATTTGGAGACATTGTTCTTTTGCCCCTTCCTTTCCGACATAAATATAGACGGTAAATAATTGAGGCCCTGGGACTGATCCTTGTAATTCTTGACTACGTACATATTTCCAATCTGGAAAATACTCATTAATCCCAACTTTGTTTTCTGTGTGTTAACCAATCCTCAATCCATCTAAATTGCCTTATAAATTGAGGCAATAGAAAGTAATATAAATTGCTATAAATATTGTTAATGAATATATTCATACGAGGAAACAAAGTTAGATAAAGAAGGTCCAAATATAAGAGTGTAAAATTCAATACATCCAATCTATTTAGGTTATCTGAGTTTACTGGAACTAATTAGCTATACTTTGCAGTTTTGGTTAAATATTTTTGATCTATTTGTTTCTTCCACTCCTAATTTATTTTGGAATTTAGTTTTCATGAAGTTAGTTAGCAGAGCTATTTACAAATTTATTTACGTCTCTTTCATTTACAGTATGTATTTGCCATTGTGGTATCAATACATGTTTGTGATTTTTATAATAACAGTTTACATGAGTTTTGCAATTAGCTTTTGTCATTGAATAACACATATTTTCTAAAGCACCAAAACATCACCATAAAGCACCAGTCATTGCATGTATTTGGCACCACATTATATTTGCATGAATTTGTTGAACTCCCCCTTTCCCCTTATTCTCTCTCTGCTGTACTTTCACCATAATTACCTTGTACTTGAGACATGGAAATCTTTCAGCTTCATGTCTAGTTTTTTTTTTACACAGTCCATTGCTGTGACAGAATGTGGGTGCTTGGAGAGAGTCGTAATTGCAGCTTTTGTCTGCAAAATACTAACTTTTTCATAACATTCAAATTAATTATTATAGTTGGCCTTGGGTCACCCGTTGAATGTCATGGTCAGTAACTAGTCCTTTGAGTGTATAATTTTGTGCGCATTTGTGTTTATATATTGTAGATTTTAAATATTGTTGCAATAAATTAAAGTATAAATGCATGGACCTCCTTTAATAAATATATTGTGCATGAATAAGTAACATTTGTTTCTTACTAATCATTGAATTTCAGTGAGTGTAAAGTAATTGGGTTTGCATAGAGAATATATAGAATAGTTTATTAGGACATTATCCTTTGACCCCTGGAAGCTGATTTAAATGCAATACGTGCTAATTGCATAAAAGAACCCAGTGTTTACTGAATGTAAGGTTCCTATGAGAAATGATTTTGGATATCTCAACCCACCTGGCCCTAATTGAGCAATTTTTTTCTAAGAGGCATTTTTAAAAAGGAAATCTCACTCTGCTGTAGTAGTTGATGCTGTTTTAAGATTTAGAGTAAGTGGAATCTTTGGAGACAGAGGACAGTGAATTATTCACTTCTAACCAATGCTTTACCGAATCAGAGGGCACATGATATGTGGGTTTAATTTTCAGGACTTTCACGGGGTTGGGGATGGAGTTAGATGTTACTGACTGTTATGTCAGTTTCCTGACGCCAGTCATGTTCTCTAGGTTCAGGACCCAATCCTACCTGATCCATGATGAATACTAATTAGTGGAGCTTATGAATGGGGAATGCTGCAGTTTTAAAAGGCACACAGACTGCACAGTTGTCTGTCCAAACCAGGTGAATGAAGGCAAGTAATCAATAGCGAGCCAGTTGTGTCTATACGATCAAAATAGCTGAGTCTCAAAGAAGGATGCATGGCACAGAGAGGGCATTTGAGGATTGGGAAACAGGTACACTTGGGACAGTGGGCACTAAGTGCTTGGGCAGTGCAGGGCTTATCATATTCCTGGCATCAGAGACACAGAAACAGAGGGAGACTATTATCAATTGTCCAACTGACCCTGCTGAGTCATTTTGTCACTGTTTCTTCTCCTGCTCGACCAAAATCCAGAGAATATAAGATCTCTTCAACACGGTGTCACTGTTGGCCAGCATTTATTTCCGATCCCTAGTTGCCCTTGAGCAAGTGGTGGTGAGTTGCCTTGAACCACTGCAGTCCATGTGCTGTAGTTGACCCACAATGCCCTTAGGGAGGGAGTTCTAAGATTTTACCCAGCGACAGTGAAAGAACAGCGATATTTTCCAAGTGATTTCCAGGATGGTGAGGGTTTGGAAGGGAGTTTAGAGGTGATGGTGTTAGGTGGCAAACCAGCTGAAGAGCTGCTCAATGATAAGTTCCTCTTCAGGTCAATGATTCTCTGAGGAGCAAACACCTCTCAAAAGTCTATGAATCAAGCCTGGTTGCTCCTCAGCTTTCCCAGAAACCTGTCTCCAGCATGGAAGCCAATTTGATTGCCTAAAATTACAGTTCTTTGAGTTGACAAATTTTCATCTGCAGTTCAACCAGCCTGGTGCAAGTGAGGTCTGGATCTCACAACAAACCAGCAGAACCACCAAGCAGAGATAGTTGGAACTGCCGATGCTGGAGAATCTGAGATAACAAGGTGTAGAGCTGGATGGACACAGCAGGCCAAGCAGCATCAGAGGAGCAGGAAAGCTGACGTTTCAGGTCAAGACCCTTCTTCAGAA